CGCTAGAAGTAACAAGTGCCACGCTAGTAGTAACAAGTGCCACGCTACTAGTAACAAGTGCCACGCTAGTAGTAACAAGTGCCACGCTAGTAGTAACAAGTCCCACGCTACTAGTAACAAGTGCCTTCCTAAGATTTCCTAAAGCAATGCTCAGGGGATTCGGTCCTAAAAGATCGACCAGCTCTTTGTTGACAGAGACGTATTTGGGTGTGTATCAACATAGGGAGACCTCTCGGAAGAAGGGAGATAGACCAGTCCACCTATTGGGCAGGGCGTCCCTATTAAGATACACACCCATTTAACGAATGATCCCCCCCTGTGTCTCGGACCGTCTGACAACTCCCTTTTGCAAGGCATGGCAAGCTCGGCCTTGGTGCTGATGGCACACCTTTGGTCGTCTTCTAAGTGTGAATGAAGGGATCTTGCCTAAGAACGACCAAACGACCAGATGCCTTTGCAAGAACAACTCAGAAACCAGATGCTTGAGGCACATTAAAGGCTTTAGTGGCAAATCGGCAAAGGTTGATGCATCAGTCATTCTGCGACGTTTGATCCTGTTCATTGCATCTTGAGCTGAGATAAAGCCCACACCGTTGCCGAGCAACAGCGAGACCATGGATTTCAAGCAGAAGGCTCATGCACTTGCTAGCACTTTGGCCTCAAACCAAAATGCGTTCTCTGTCCTTAAGCTTTGGATGTAGTCCCTTCGAACAGGCACACATGGGACAATGCTACAATGCAGCGAAAAGCGCCACTGGGCAACGAACGTCCGTGTTTCAGGTGGTTTGTCCAAGAGCGCTACAAACCGTGCTTTGTCCAGCTCAGGATTCTGTGCCTTTGGATCGTGATGCACCTGACACGAGGCAGCAGTTGGACTGACAACAGGCTTGTTCGTACATCCAAAATCATCCCAACCCGAAAGCGTTTTGCCCTTTTCAAGAGGTTTTCTTCAAGCATGTCATATGCAGAGTTTTGGTCGTACTGAAGTGTGGACTTACTCGAGCATGTCAGTTGAGAGGCCGGAGGTTTGCAAGCTTCGCCACCGCAACTATCCGCTTGGGCCTTTATGTTGGTTGGTTTGGGCAAGACTATTCAAAAGTGAAGGTGCTGCATGTTTCTTTGCATAGAACTTTGGGATACTTTGGGCACTCGGCCCGAAGCATTGCCATGCATTGCAAATTGCAATCTTTCTTTCTTTGCTGGCATCCCAGGAAGGATTTGCGGACTGCCTCCATTGTGATTGTCTTTCACAACGAAGTCCGGAACACCCAAGCTATGAGCAAGGACGCTACTAAGTTACTAAGGGGCTCCTGACATCGCTACTAGGAGCAAGGACGCTACTAGTAACATCAAATTTGCTGGAGACGAAGTCGACACGTTTCTTTGCCTTGAACCAAACGTGTACGAGTTGCTCTGCACCATTTTGTCCTTTGGCATTGGCTGTCGGTACACTTCGCTGCTTTCAGGTGGCCTCGGTACTCCTACGTTCGGTGCACTCCGTGCGGAGACGAAGAGGGCGGAGCGGTCGCCGTAGGAGAGACTTAGAGGATTGGAACAACCGCTAGTAGGTTGGAGGCCATGTTGGAGGCCATTGCCCTTAGGTTGGAGGCCATCGCTCTTAGGTTGGAGGCCATTGCTAGTAGGTTGGAGGCCCAGGATGTTCTGCGGTTCACGCAACGCTGCTCAGCTCACACAGTCAGTCGACTGTGCCTTGGCTGCCTTGGCCTGAGGTCTTGAACCAATCACCGCAAGATTTGCTGTTGGGCTCTCAATGAACTCATCTCTTGGAAGGAATCCCAAAAGGCAAGCAGATGTAGGAGGTCAAAGATGATCAAAGAGCCCTTATAGGTACTGAAGAGATTAAAGAGTTGTTGAAGAATTACTGGCACATCTCCAAACACACAGGACACAGACCGGCACAGATGGCTCTATCTGCACTGATCATCTCTGCCAGAGGCATGAAGTGATCCTGGTGGACGATGCCTCGGTGCCAGACCCTGGTCGTTTCACCGAGGAGCCAAGTTCTGAGTGCTTCGTTTCTCGAAATCTTTTGTCTTTTGCTTTGATTTTCTCGAAATTCTTTTGGAAAAACATCCTTCAGTGTGTCAGGAGCGGTGGCAAAGATTGCAGAAACCACTGCTAGAGTATGTACTGCAGCTGCCAAAGGCGGAGCTTCGAAAAACACATCTTGTTACTAGTAGCGATGGCCTCCAACCTAATAGCGATGGCCTCAACCTAATAGCGATGGCCTCCTCCACCTAATAGCGATGGCCTCCACCTAATAGCGTCCTTGTTACTAGTAGTAGCTAAAGGCACTGTAGTATCAAAAGATTTACTGAAGAGTCTCAGTGAGGTGCGGCTGGTACGCTTGGGTGAGCGGCGTGGCCTGATGCCGGCATCTGAGTTCACAGTCTCATGGTGACTCATGGCGCCTTGTGCGTGTTTGCTTGTGTGGACGACATGACAATGTGGGTGTAGACGATATTTCTCACGTGCCTTGTGAGTGGTGATATGCTTGTGATCATTTGCAAATGGTCACTCCTGGTGGTTTCGTGAAGCATCACTCCTACAACAGGTGCTGTTAGAAGCCAAGATGGGTTGAGCCTTGCGCAGCTCAGTGTCGTTGAGGCTTGCGCGGATGGAAGGGGCATGGCGAGCTCGCGCGGAGATTGTTGTTTTCTTGGACAGTCACATTGAGGCCTGCTCTTCAGCTTGCTGCTGTTTTTTCACATGGGCATCTCTGGTGCTTGACATGGGCATCTCTGCTTGATCAGGATGTTTCCGCCAATGTGTGCTAACCCGCTCGACTTCATTTGCAACCTTTGGCTCAAGGATTTAATAGTTGTCTTTCCGCACGCAAGATCTGGCAAGATGGCGAAGACTTCGGTGGGAGCTGCCGGTTTTGAGATCTTTCGTGTTGGTTGTGCCACGTACATGGCAAATTGCCTTGACATGCTAGGATGAGCCAGAGATCACCAACGAGAGTGACGATGAGAGTGGCTCCAATGAGGATATGCCAAATCTTGAGGATGGAGATCGTATATTCGGGATTGTTTGCCTTTGCTGTTATTAATGGCTTCTGCAGATCCAGCAGAATCAGGTCGATTACATTTGGGCTTGTAAATTTCAACCTCACGAGAGGTGTCACCCCTT